TCCATAAACTAGAAAATTACAAAATGCAGTACAAAGGGAAACACACCGGTTGTTACTATTGAGCTATTACACAGAAAATTACTCGATATAGGGGTAGAATGGAAATAAACTATACCAAGCCATGAACCGAGGTACTTCTTCTTAAAATAAATTTTTTCGCAGGTTGACGGCCTTATTGATCTCTTATTTTCTTGTCTAACAGTGGAATGAATCTAACAAAGCAAGGGATGAGCTAGCATAAATAGTTCTTGAATATAAATATTCCAAGCAGAAATTAGCGGCCTGAATTTCGTTCACCTACCTTTACATTTTAGGACACTTAAGCTTAGGCCCGAGATCATTTTTCACGTTACTCCAGACTAGACATAGAGGTTGTGGCATCATCACTTAGATCAAATCCATTCGTGATTGGCGCGATTTGAACCCTGGACCTCGGGGGCTAAAGTCCTGCGTTCTACTATTAGACCAGCCCACGCCAAACCATTAACATATGAACATAGTCATAATATGATCTTTTGATTAGTGTTGTGTCTAAAAAATGACAAATACAAATGCAACGAAAATCCCTAAAAAAATTTTATAATCTGTATTATTGCTTAAGAAATTATTTAAAACAAGTCGCAAGTCAACAATCAATAAATATAACGTTCAAGTATAACACCTGCTCGAATATGAGAACCAAGCAACAAGCTTGTCAGAGTTAGTTACAGCTGTAGTGAACAGCTGATTGGTGCTTAAGTCTGCAACAATGGTGCTTGATAGAGTCTTAAATCTCAAGTTGGACGACTTGAAACTGCAATCAGTCTAGCTTACATCCAGCTGCAAATTTATCGCATTCTATGTCATGGTGGAAGGAAAACACATAGGTGTGCTATTCCCACATATTCTGACGTCACTCGGATTGCAAACAAAAGATCACCTGATTGTAACTGTCAAATTAGTATGTATTTGTTTTGATTTGCTTGTTTTTGTTTTTATTATTATACTTTTATTTTTATTATTATTATTATTATATATTATTTTATTATTATTGTCAATTTAATAAAAACAATAACAATCAAATCAAAACAAATACATACTAATTTGACAGTTACAATCAGGTGATCTTCTGTTTGCAATCCGAGTGACGTCAGAATATGTGGGAATAGCACACCTATGTGTTTTCCTTCCACCATGATTCTATGTCACAAAGGAACCGTCTTATTGAGTTTTAAGGGAGGTCTTTAATATGGAGGGGTCTCTCCTCGCCCAAACGACTTAAATTTAATATTTTAATTTTATAAACAGGTGGACCTACAGCCATAGACAAAAATAAATAAATATAGACTGTCAACCGTGCTGCGGTTACCATGGTTACCATAGATTCTGGCGCACACCGCTGGGAGCGCCGTGTAGTTACGTAGCGCGTACGCCATAACCACATGACGCTCCCAGCGGTGTGCGCCAGAACCTATGGTAACAATGGTAACCGCAACACGGCTGACGGTCTATATTTAATTATTTTTGTCTATGCTACAGCTTAATGGGTTATAGACCACCATGTGAGTATACAAACAAATTATTACAACTTATTTGTAAATTGTGGGATTCGAACTCGCAACTTATAAGAACCAATGCCTACCACTCTCTATGAAAAAAAACCAGTCTTACTAAATTCTGTACTATGCAAATAAACTGGGATGTACAAAATGTACAAGGAAAGCTATTTTCAATATGTTTACCTTGTATAAGCACGTGGAAACTAACCTACTGTAAACTGTGATAATAATTGACAAGGTCAATGCATCGATATATAACTACTACCAGTAGTTATATATAGATGGGTCAATGTGGTTGTGTAAATGAAGCGTCATCAAAAGTGTAAAGTTCATTTTGAAACAGCTTCAACGCATTTCTCTTCAAGAATCATTCCTTCAATGATTTTACAAAATGATACATTAAACTTTAGCAATATGAGATGGAACTTAGAAAACCATTTATTGGGTAAATTTGATATACTTTAGTTTCTTATAAGCTTTGGGTATTATATGTTATTTCTAGGCCTTTTGTTTTATTAATTATTTCAGCTAACCTTGGATTAAATTAAATTATACCATTTTAGCCAATCATCTTATTTTAAGTAGCAAAACATTTAAGAAAACCATTATTGACTTTTGGGATAGATAGACCTAAAATATTATGTGATTATAATAACAGTATTTTAGTATTCCGCAGTACTATCCTGATAAGATAAATTCGTTGATATCAAGGCAATGTGGTTCGGATTCCACTATGAACTGTAGGTCCCTTAGTTACCATTAGCTGTATGTACTATTAATTAACAGCTGTGTCTTAAGGCATATGTCTTCCTTATGTGTGTCGGTTTTATTGAGAATTGATAAATTTTGTTATCGACATATAATCACCAATTCATCAAATATTTTTAAAACTTCTGCTACATTATATATTATTTGTATTTGAATGTGTTTGGCGATCTAAGACTACAAGATCGCGCCACTCATCCTACACCCATCTCCGTTCATACTTGGCATAAAATACCTACTTTGTATGGTCGCCATTTCAATGAAAATTATTAAAGTATTAAAAGTATTCTACTGTTGTCGCATACACATGGCCCCATAAATAATTTGTTTGTATTGTACAATCAGGTGCGTTAGTAATGCACCTAATATCGTAATCAACCACGTACTCTGAAAAAAACAAAAAAAAAACAACAGTCACAGAAACGGGCAGACTAGGGGCAATTCTCGTCGCACAAGTGTATTCTATTTCAACATGTCCATTATAAAAGGAAATTAAAACCTAAAAACATTGGCTTTGCGAGTTCTTACTTTTGCATTTATGAGGGACAAAAACACATTTTTAACCAATTAAAAAATTCGCCCCCAATAATTAAAAACTTAACCCATATTTTACACCGATATGTTCATAATGAAACATTACAGTTTTCCGAATTGTTAACACCCGTATTTGATATGGTAAATATATCAGTGATAATAATTATTGCTAACTAGATTATGAGTTAATATCAAAGCAGTAACAACGCTAAAAGTTTATAATATTTTATCACATCCATGAAAATGGAAAATTTTGAAAACGTTACGAAAAAAATACATGTTTTTAAAAACATCAAATCATACGATTTGTTAATACTGTTCGATGAAATGGCGACCGAACTTAGTAGGTATTTTGAATGGAGATGAGTGTAACATGAGTGGAGCGATCTTGTAGTCTTATTAGTGACTAAGGCCGACATTCCTTAGACACAGCTGTTAATTAATAGCCCATACAGCTAATGGCAACTAAGGGACCTACAGTTTATAGTGGAATCCGAACCACATTTTTCTTGGTATATACGAATTGGTCTAATTATCAGAAAGTACTGCGGATAGTCGTAGTACTCACTCGTGCGGACGTTAATCCACACCAGAGAGTATCGCATCCACAGTGCATGCCTATAAATATTCACAATTCGTGACCTCCTAGTAGCTGGATTACAGGACGACGCCACCCGTCCCAGTCAATATGCCAACATCATAGAAGTACTTGATGTTCAACAGTTATACCGCAAAGGGTATTATTGTGAGTGAGAGGGAGAGAGAGAGAGAGGGAGGGAGAGAGGGAGGGAGAGAGAGAGAGAGAGAGAGACATAGAGACAGAGATGGAACGGCATCTGAGAGGGATGCTGTGCTGTACCGGTGACGTCACACAATCAATACCGCGCCGTCGTTAACTGCATTACCATCTACATTTCCGCTCTGTCGTCACTTCCGGTTGCAGATTTCAGTAGGTAAAGCTTCCATATGTTGATGATATATATTCATGTATGGGCTATACATTGTGCAATTACTTGAATGTTGACATTAAGTAGTGCAATAGCGCAAGTAAACTATACAGCGAAATTTGAAGCCGGTGTTGTTATTTCGTTGGTATCGTTTGAATGTGCTTATGTCGACTATCATTTTTCTTTTATTTCAATGCATATTTTGCCGTATGCGCTTTAGTTTTTTAGTTTAAATGATAGAGAACAAGGAATAAATACTAGTAACTTAAAAACAAATCAAAGTTTACTCCGAACTAAATCAGCTGGTATTGGTGACATATTCTGCAGCTACAAACGAACTATAAACTTTGTAACAGTTTGTTTATAATACAAACTATTATTGCATAACAATTTCAGATAATTTGTATGATTTCATGAAAGTCCAATTACGTGCTAACTACCTTTGACAACAATTACCTCAAAACCTAAAATTATTATCTTTTCCTCAAAAGTACAAACTAGTAAAATCGACTTGCCAGACTTATCTCTAATGTGACAAGTCGTTGAAATCATAATTAAAGGTACAGTATTACCTTACAGAACGATGACCCGAAAACGCTCTCAGGTATTTACATTAACTTTTATTTGTAGATATTAGCCTGGACACCTATTTATTATAAATATTTTTACCTTTTTGGTAGCCTAAGGTGTCCAAAATTCTTATCTCCTGCGAGACGCGTTTCGCATTAATTACAATGCATCTTCAGTCGTTGTCACAGGTCTCGACATTGCCCGCAGAATATGTTTTGTAAATTGTGACAACCACTTCTGTGGGCAATGTTGAGACCTGTGACAGCGACTGAAGATGCATTGTAATTAATGCGAAACGCGTCTCGCAGGAGATAAGAATTTTGGACACCTTAGGCTACCAAAAAGGTAAAAATATTGATAATTAACTTAAAAAAAAAATACACGAAATAATTTGTAGGCCTAAAATCCAAGGAATATGGTTACACATTAGGTAAATCCAAACTGAACGTTAAAAAATCTCGAATGTGGACATTTGTATACAGATTCTGTTATTAAATTGTCTTGAAAACATCACATGAATAACACTGTAACATTTATTTATTTGTTCCCCAACCACAAAACAAAAATGTCCTGTATTACTTTAAATGGAAAACATGATGAATAAAACCCTTAATAAAGTAGTAATAGATTTATTTTCTCATGTGATTTACAAAGAACTGTCATACAAATTCAAAACAACAAATTTAATTTTATTTTTCCTTAAGCTTCACAATACGAACTACCTAGAATGACTATTACGCGTTTGATTTTGTATGTGCACACATTTGGATGAGCAATCAATATAACGCGATGTAAACTCAAACCGTACGGCTTACGGCAGAGTTTAATTCATTGAAAACAACACTCAACCTCTGTAGATCTGAGCCTGCCAATCAAATCAATCTAACGGAGAAAGAGGTGGATAGTTCCTCAGAATCACAGGACGTGAATTGTTTTTGTTTTTACCAGAGCTGAAAACTGTTCTTTCTGTCCCTAAAGTGCCCCTTGTGGAGCCTGACTTTGTACTTCCAGCAGCTTCTAGGTCTATCGAAGACAAAGATTTATGTGTTGATGGAGAAACGGTTTTCATTGATTTATTAGCATTTTCAAATAAAGCTCTTCTCTTTTTGAAGTCATTGACCTCAACGGATAATTGTCTTTTAGGTTTCTTCGAGTGTTCTATAGTTCTCATCGGGTCTCTTCCTTTGGAAAATTCACGATTGTTTGAGTCCCGACAGAACGGAGATGAAAGATTTGTCCTTGTTTCAAACACGTCTGTGTCACGATTGTCCCGATAAACATTTTGAATTTCAAGTAAATCTTCAGTTAATCTTTTCCTCAAAGTTTTTTCGAGTTCAGAAGTGCGTTTATTGTTTCGATCTCCACCGGTTCTCATCCTTTTCCCACCATCTGGACTTTTCTTTGAATTACGTTTGGACCCACTTATTGGCATTTCTTCTATTTCAAAGTCAGTCATTTGACTTTCATTTTCATCCTTATCCACTGCAGTTTCGGACTCTACAGTTTCAGAGTATGCTGTGTTCTTTCCTTGTTTGTTATCCCCCCTCTTGAACCTTTTTGCATATGTTTCTTTCAATTTAGAAACACACTTGGTTGATTTTAGTTTTTTCAGGCAAGGTGATTCAAGTATTTTTTTACCTCCTGAAGTCACTGTTCCATCGGCTTCGGAGCTGGCGTCCTTGTCACTTTTTCTGCAGCGAATTTTTGACAAACACTTCCATCTTATTTTGTTTGAAGGATCTTCATCGGGTTCTCCCGTTTCAATTTGTTGACATCTCTAAAGCATAAAGTTATTTGGTAAAACAATAACTAAAATAACCCATTTTTTATCTTTTATCTTACAAGATAAAATCAATTAGAATGTGTTAAAAAATATACTATGTAAAAATTGCTTAACCATTTGTTTTAAATACAGCGAAACCGAATTAAACTGGCCGAGAATGCAATAGTCTAAAGCAGGTACAGGATCTATTTTGATTTTCGCGCAACATAATTTCCTCTCATGAATATACACATACAAATCCAACAAATTTAAAAAGTCTTAAACCTAAGTTTGGACCGGAAAAGGTTCATAGAAGCTTACGCTTAAACACCTCTAGTATGAAAGTAAGACTATTGGCTCTACGAGTACTTAGGTTTGTTCATAAATATGCATAAAGTAAGGACGCAATTGATTAAATTGATTGATTCCCTAAAAGGATATCACGGGGACAATGTATTGCGCTTAGCATATTTATTTTCTTGGTAAGCATTGGGTTTAGACTTGCATTTAATTGGCTTTCCAAGCTGGGTTTTGTTACTATTTTGATTTTTTAATTGTGTATATAAACAATATAACAACTGAGGCTGTCACGTAAGGGAACAGTTATTTGGCTTCTGTAGACCATAAAAAAGTACAATGGTCCTAGTCCCATTGTTTAAAATTATTACTACGCTAACAAACACTTTTCCATATGGGTATTTTTAGAATACTTTGAGCTAAATGTATCCTTGTCAGATATTTCAAAATAAGGCTGGTATCGAAAGAAACCCTGAGCTCACTTGGTCGTAGTCCTGAAGGTAGCCGAAGCGGTCTTTCCTCTTGAACAGTCGAGGACCGACCAACCAGCCGGGGGCGGAGCCCTCAGGTCGACCCAACATGACACTGTTGAGTGTGGAGGAGTAGAGGAATCTACCGACCAGCACGAGCACTGCCTAAACATCAACAGGTTGTAGGAATCTGAACACATGTGTAGATGGTAGATTTACTATAATATTCTCACGCTAACCGGCCCCACCATATTGAAGATTTAGCCAGACTATTCACCCTTATATTTCATTTTGCTGCTATTAGTAGGGGACAGGGGAAGACCTCCAATACATGTATAGTTTATCATTTACTAAAGTAAATCACTGTTTGCTTTTCTACATTATTACAGAATAAAGGTGGACTAAGGTGTGGTGTGGTTAAGGTTTTACCGGTTTTACCACACAGTTAAAACATAACAATCGGGTATTGGTAGAATTTGAACACGGGCCTCTAAAAAGGAGTTTCCGCCTCTTACTTAACCAATCTCAAAGTGACCGTGACCTGAGACTAGAAAATAGCCTAGAAATATCCGTAATATAACGATGCTGCTGACGTTACAAACTCAAGCGATCAAGGACTGAAATCCTTAATGATTTCTACTTATCTGCGAACATTATGTTCACATCTCTATTACTCGGACCACTAACGCCCGACTAGACATATTGTCTGCGTATATACTTACCATCGTCGAACTCAACACATAATTGTTTTGAACCTGAGAGTACAGACTATAAGTTGATGATACATTTTTATAATACTCTTAAAGATAATTTACTATTGATATTTAGAAGAAATGTAGGTGAAACAATATTCACAGCACTTTCAAGCAAGACCTAACAACTTCATGACTAACCTGAAGCAAGATTTCAACCATCAAGATGAACTTGAAGACTAGCAAGTCCCAAGCAAGGTTGTTCTTGATGCTCTCCTCGCATCCAGCTGAATACAGCAGTGAAGGGTCTGCGAGCCTGATGTCTGCCAAGGACCTGGTCTTGTCGTTCAGCCAAGGTAGATGTCCACAGTCCGGGGAGGAAGTCCTGCAGCAACTAGAGGGGACCAGAGGCACCAGGACACGACCAGTGGCCCGCACCAGTCTAGACAAGTAAAGTCTGATTAACCCATCACTAGGGCAAACATTGGGATTGAATTGGGTCATGAATGACAAAACCCTAGTCCCTGAGCGAGAGCCTGTGGCAGTATGATACCTCAACGATCCTCTTAAGCTAAAGCTTTGCTTCCAGATGGTCATTGAAAAGTATTTAAAGTATTAAAGTCATCAATTATCAATTTCCAATCATGAGATGGTTGAGGTAAGAGCTCGGCATGATAAACTCCTTCTTTGGGCCAGCCTTTATTACCTTTCTGGGCAACTTTAAACACTGTAGTAGTAGATTTATGAAACTTGCTTTAGTGTTTTTTTGTTGTGTTCAGTTATTATGTATACTTCTCTAGTTAAAGTTTTAGGAGTTTCTAGTTTCAGCTTTTACCTGATACCCAGTCTGTAGCTGCGGAAAGCTTGAGCATTGCAGATTGCAGATAAAGAGATGGTTGTTTAATTAAAGTCTTCAATTTTGTAATGGAAAGAGTCTTAACAGTTCATAGTAGTTCTGTTGATTCTACCATTAAAAATTTTCTAATTTAAATGATTTATTAGATAAATTCATCACTTGGCTTTCGTTTCAGCCACTGCATGAAGTTTAAATGACTAAATATAGAATATAAACTGAATGTAGAAGTATTTATAATGTGATAGGTAATGACTATAATGTGTAAAATCATAGAACACAAACATAATCGTTGTTACTGCAAAAAACAAATACACTTTCACACAAGTTTTATCAATGTATTCTAGATGTGTTTTTGAATACAACTAATATAACGGGTTTTACCGTCCCAGGGATATAACAGAGTTTTCCGAACACGTCACTCAAAACGAAGTTGGATGACAATGACAAATTGGTTTTAGGTAAAAGGTATTATCTTACCGCGCCAATAATGTTACCGGTGTTTTGATTTAGTCTTTTCTATGGGAGGCATACTAGTTATTTTACAAACTAACATGGGATATTTTTTTCCAGAATTTAAATCAACTCATGGCATTTGGTCTGATGGCAACACAACGAATTGGTCACTCTAAACATTCAGTTTATTGACCGTATTTTTTTACTTTAAAAATGTTAATAACCTATTTTGTATGTAATAGAAATAAACTACGTCCTACGTTCCTATTTGTGTCAAACATTATTTTAGTAATTACACTTGTTTAACCTAAACCATACATACAAAAAAATACAAATATATTCAGGGCCAAAAACTTAAAATTACAAAAAAAAACTCTTTTCAAGATCAAATGTTCAAATTTGTGTTGCTAACCAAGTTAACATAAACTCGGTGAGGTTTCTGCTGTATTAAATTAATCTGATATTAATTTCAACAGGTATAGAATGAATCGTCCTAAAAATATATCTCCGATTTTCTTTACCACACTTTTACCGTACTCTGAATCCACATTGGTGTTGCCAAGCTTTTCCAGAGGTATCCAAGTAGTATTGTACCAGTCCGAGGGTCCTTGGACTCCGCAGCACTCCAGGAAGTTCTGCAGTTGGTCCAGGGCGGAGCTCCATGAAGGCGTGGTCATGTACCGAGACATGCCGTACTTGAGTCGGGGTCCAACCTAGGAGAGGGTCAAAAGGAAAATTTACTAAGCGATCCAAAATATTCTGGCTGTTCTAAGAATATTTATTCTTCTACATCTCAACAATGGTTAGTTCTTGTTTTACAAATGATTGCAGACATGTTATTTTGTTATTAGTGTTCACACAATTTAAATATATTAGATCTGATCTGATCCTATTCTCAAGTCAGAATTTTCCAAACATAACACTAGTACATATAACCCTTGCGAAAGCTAGTAAACCACTCAAGTAAAAATACACACAAATCTCGGAAAGTGAATTCTTCAACATTTTTTTCGAAATTACTATTTCAAAATATTTAGTGTAAATATGTTTAAAGCATTATAGTATTGTGCACAGTGAGTATTTATTTAATAGCTCAAAATAAATCGGAATTGTATACGACATCACTAGGGCAAATGATTTCTGCCACGAACCCAAGTCTAACGATCGAGTTTGGGTAATGGGCTTAATTGTGACTGTGACATATGGATACATATACTATTTCTAGCTTAAGAACAATTTTATGTTTTAATTGCTCCAATATTGTCCACTAGCTGACAATAAAGATTCAATTTAGTTCTTGATACTAGGAAATATTACAGTAATATTGTTAAGCTATGAATAAAACCGATGAACATAGCCAAACTATCCGCAGATAATAACTAAACTCCAGCCTTTCAACCGCATACTCTCCTGAGGACTGCATGTCAGTTTACGGACCCTGCTATACAAGTCTACATGAGGTGACTAACTGACATTACCTCAGTATCCAATACCTTCTCCACAGTACTCATGAGAGACACACAGCAGACACTAGCTGATAGAGAGACGAGGGAGAGCGCCGTCCACACATGATGGCTCCGGGAAATGGAGTGGCTAGAGTGTGTGAAACAGATATTGTAATGGAATGTAAAACAAATTGGTTGTTAAAGAAGTATCTTAAATTACTGTGTGTTAGTTGTGCGACAACCTGTGATTAGGATATTCGTGCCAGAGAGCACAGCTGATTCGTGCCAGAGAGTATAGCTGATTCATGCCATAGAGAGCACAGCTGATTCGTGCCAGAGAGTATAGCTAAATCGCGCCAGAGAGCACAGCTGATTCGAGCCAGAGAGTATAGCTGATTCGTGCCAGAGAGCACAGCTGATTCGTGCCAGAGAGTATAGCTGATTCGTGCCAGAGAGCACAGCTGATTCGAGCCAGAGAGTATAGCTGATTCGTGCCAGAGAGCACAGCTGATTCGTGCCAGAGAGCACAGATGATATGCGCCAGAGAGCACAGCTGATTCGCACCAGAGAGCACAGCTGATTCATGCCAGAGAGCACAGCTGATTCGCACCCCTTTTCCGCAACAGGTTCGTGTATTGTGTCAAGCTCGCCCCTTGCTTTACTTTACACGTCCCACGTACAGACTTGAGGCAATGTTGGTAGGGTAAATTAAAAATTAAAAGAATCTACCTGTTAGTTAAAAAATAGGCTTGTAAGGATTATCCAGTGAATGTGTTTACGCGAGTTAAATTAAAATTGTATTCCTTACGAAGTATTTATGTTTGTTTAACAAATTACATGTTCTGATCACAGGTTGGGGCAGTATCTATATATATAAAAGACAAAGCCCTCACTGACTCACTCACTCATCACTAATTCTCCCACTTCCCATTTACCTAGGAGGCTGAAATTTGGTACACTGATTCTTTAGGCATTAAATAGGAAAACTAAGCTGTTTTTATCCTGATCGGACTCTCGGGCACCGCCCCAGTGGCTCTGGAGTTTCCCATGTTAACCTTATGAGTACTCATGTTTAAATGGAATTAATGAATCTTAACAGCTGTTTCAATTAAACAAGTTGGTTCTGTTCTATGATGTTCAATAGCATTAAAGTTACAAGGATTACCAACAGGGTGCAGTACTATTTTTTTTTTTTATTTATGACAACAGCTAATTTGCAACCAAAAGGTGAGTGAGCGTAGCGAACGAACTTCAACCTGGAAGCGAGTTAGCGTAGCGAACGAGCTAACCTGAAGGCAAGTGAGCGCAGCGAACGAGCTCTAACGTAAAGGTGAGTGAGCGTAGCGAACGAACTTCAACCAGGACGTGATTGAGCCATGCAAACGAGCTCACTTATGAAGTTAAACGGGGCAAAGCCCGCGGGTACAGCTAGTCATTTTATAAACCTTTTTTGAACTACAAAATTGAAATCTTGTATCATGGTCAAATCGATTTATGAAAATGTACACGCATGGTTAACTACCCACAAATGCTACAAGGCTGTTAACAAAATGATTGCCTCCGAGTCTGGATTGTAAGTTTTATGTCCGGTGTCGCTTGAGTGCGTTGATGTAGACTAGTCTTGTTATTTTATTCAGGGGCAGGCTATTTTTCAGTGTGCATTTTCATTCTAGTTACACCACCAGTTTAGGCTAAGCAATACCGGTAGTTTAAAATTAGTGCACGATATCAAGTCTCAAGTTTTAGTTAATGAAAAGTAACAGGAAAAATAAGACAACCTTAAAACCCATTTTGTATTTACAGGACAGAAATATACCTTAAAATTCTCTTTAGATGATCTATAAGGGCCAACCAAATTTAAAATAGAGTGTTTAATCTATATCTGTAAGCCTTAGACATATTTTTATGACGGGTGATGACATATTGTGTCATGACTGATTATATTTTTTTGTAGGAAAACTATGTTTTTATACATCTTCGACCTGCAAATTTGTTAGCAAACTGATCTCATAAGGATAATTTAATCTAAAGGAAAATCTAATTTGATCTAAGGAATGTTTAGCTTCGATTCTTTCACCGCGTCACGAACTTTGGTGCATATTTTAAGCTAGATATAATAGCCTAAAGGGTGAGTATAGAATTGCGTGAGATGATCTAAGTTATCGTATGATGATCGGTCGAAATAATTCAACAAAAGCCATGGCAAAGGTAACATTATGTCCTATCTTATTTTATTTCTTTACATGGTTAGACTTCCGTGTCTGTTGGCACAAACAACCGAATGAAAATATCGATTTTTCAATTGTTTCATTCGATATATTGTTTGGTTAGGTTAGGTTAACCTTATCTAACTAACCAAACGATATATCGAATAATCGATACATCGATCGATATTTTCATTCAGTCGTGTGTGCCAACAAATACGGAAGTTTACCCCATAGACGTTATATCTAACTAACTATTTCCTATATAATTTTAAATGTACAAATAGTTTTAGTAAACTTACTTCGTCGGCTGATTCCTAACGTTGTCGTTGAGTTTGAAACACACAAAAGCCAAAAGAAATATCAAGACACCAACCGAGACAAGGTTCTTATACAAATCGTCGAACAGTGTGATTATCAAGTCGTGAAGGATGAACTCGTGGTGGTAAAAAGAGTGGAAAACCAACCCCAGGTAGATGCCGCATAGAACAATAATTAACAAACTGAACGTTTTACTAATCCTATAGAGAATGTTCCGAGTTTTAAATGAGAGGCAGATATAAGGTGGTTTCATAATAACTTGGAATTATAACGTGTCTTTTTAGGTTAATTAACACAAACAAGGTACCAGCTGTTCCAATTACAATAATTTAGACAATCATATGTTTCAAAGTTCTGTTTTTGTTGCTGTGAAATAGCTTGAAATATTTTCCGTAATTTAAAAAAAAAAACAGTTTATTTTTGGTTGATGTTGTATTATTCCAAATATTACTAACCTCAATTCCAGCACTGATAAGTAAATCAAATGACTATCTCTATAGTTAGGTAAATTATACAAGGAATCAAATATAGATTCTGACAAATTTTTCACCTTTATAAAGCAAATGAAGACAATTTTAAAGTATGTTTCTGTTTGACATAATGCATAGTGTGTTCTGGTTTGTTCTGTGTTACTTAATTTTCCCTATCTTACTATGTACCATAGTTTAATTTAATAAAGGGATTTGTTTATTGCAATTTTTTTTTTGTTTTATACTAAATTAAGTAATCTAGTTTGGTATTTACCCTAGGATAAAAGAATGGCCTCTTGGCAATTAGGAATATTGTCTTGTTTTCTTTTTGTTGCTAAAGTTTTAAATTTTATTGTCTTATGTGTTTTAGTTTGCTGTTATTGTTTTGTCTCTTAAAGATTGCCAACTCGGAACAGTCTTTTGTTAGTTTAATAATCACTATTGTTACTTGCTACTTGTTAACTTTGTTATTTAACCGTAATGATTTGTGTCTGTCATCTCATACATGGACTATAAGTTCAACATGTTTTGTGAAAATTTGTAAAATCATGTACGTATATTGTGTATATATTATTGTAAAAAGGCGTTGTTCGCCGGAATGAGTAAATAAATAAATGACCTACAGTAAAAATTAGCGCAGTAAAAATCAGTGCGCATGAACAAGAAACAATAATCTTCTTCGTATCCAAAGTCAATTTCCAAACCAGTGCCAGGGGAGGTAACTGTCCTCAAATCCTGCCCAATTACCAATAAATTTTATCAAAGTGATATTGCCGCAACCCCTTTGTCCAGCCTGACGTAATGAGAAAAACAATTATGGACTAGGACAAAAAAAATCACCGAACAAAGTGTTCACTGGTATTCACAACATCGACTAAACATGCCATCCACTGATACATTGTATACGATTTGACTTTACTATAACTTTTATATTCCTCCTAAAACCCCGTAACTAATACTTCCGCATAATTTACACCCCAAATCACACAGATGGAATGGAATCCTCACAAAACCATTTACTCGACCTAATCCACTTGAGTGTCATTGATAGAGCGGCAAAACACCCGGGGCAATCAGAATATCAAAATAAATCGAGAATCAATGACGCAGAAACCCCGAAAACGGCGATGGGTAATGCAATTATTTGCATGTGGCCTGTATTCCCCGGTGAGAGTGGGTGGGGGAGGGAGGGGGGATGGCACGGGCGTGCGACGTGTGAACGCACCCCCCACCCCTGTCACACGCGCCTAGTAGGGTGGGGGAGGGG